TTAGTTGAGCTGGAGTTGTAGGTACAGAATTTTCATTCTACATTAGATTTAGGAAAGTTGACTTAAGCAACTTAATTCGATATATTCAAATTATTAAAGAAAGGCCAAGAAGATATTTTTTTCATTAAATGGTTGATATAATTTTCTCTCTGTGAAAGTTCATCTGACTGAGCGCCATTTCGATCAATGAATATATTAACTTGCAAAATTGATTTGTTATCGTAGGCAATAAGAGGATAAAAGCGATTCCAACATAAGCATTTTGATTTTTGTTTTTATGTTCAGGTACTAATGCACATTATTAATAGATTCCTTCGAAATGTTTGCTTTTTGAGCTGACTATTGATGTTAAAAATTCCTTTTTCAATATTCTGTTGGTGTAACCCAATCTATTCGCAGCAAAAGCTCCCCTGTTGCTATTATTACATAAAACTGTTTGGCATCCCCAAAGCAGTTTAAGGGCTTAACAGATAGGTTAAAATAAACAATGTTGCAAGAAACGTCTTAGTCATTTAGAACATCTGTTCATTGTAAACAGTGTCCGGACGGTGTCGACCACAATGGCACCTCAATTCATTCTTCTTTCTCTGTTGTTCGGTGGGATCCTCAGCAGCACCAAATCTGAAGATTCATTTGAACARAYCTCCTTTGAATATCAKCCTSAAAAAAAGTTAAATCTCACAAGATCAGCCAAAGSACAGTCCTATCAAGTCAACAACAAGATGGAATGTTTCACCAAGTGCACTAATGTTCACTGGTGCCAATCGGGAAATTTCAAGACCACTCCAGAATCCAATGGTCTCAATGTTTGTGAACTTCTACCTTCTGATCGGTTCACTGAGAAGAACACTTTGAAGGAAAACAAGTCATACCTACACTTTAACATTAAGGTAAGCTAGTCATTTTAATGAAAAAAAAAGAAAAAAAAAACAACAAACAAACAAACCTTGTCAGGAATTCAAACATTATGTTTAGAATATTGTAGTCACCGTTATTTTGCGTTTAAACCGATTCCCTCAACATCTTGCTCTTGCTCTTGCTCTTGCTCTTGCTCTTGCTCTTGCTCTTGCTCTTGCTCTTGCTCTTGCTCTTGCTCTTGCTCTTGCTCTTGCTCTTCTTTAAAAATCGTCGGTCAAAAATTACAACATTCTCGCTATTCTCAGACTCCCTGCCACATCAAGAACAAGCCATGCCTTAACGAAGGCAGGTGTGTATTTAAAAACAGTACGCATCAATGTCAATGTGAAAATGGGTATCATGGAGAGCAATGTGATAAAGGTATATAGTCATTTACTTAATTCATGAAAGTTCTATCTAAACAAATAATTTAAAATCTAAATTAGATAGTTTAAGATTAACGTTTACTGCAAACGCCAAACGTCAAATTGGCTTTTATGCTTTGTCTCAAAATTTCGGCATACAATCGTAAAAACGCTTCGAAAGGAATAGTGATGTACTTATGCACAAAAAAGTGATCTATTTTATACACAATCGCGAAAGAACGGAACGTTAATACAAAAAAAACATTGATCATGTGATCAGTTTTGACGTTTGGCGTTCGCCGTATGTAAACGCGTATCTAAAACCTTGGTCTCTTCCAAACTACTTTCTGCGATTKCTCACAAACTGTTTAAAGTCTTTAAATCAGTATCCAAGCGCGCCCATGTAATATATTATATACATACTGAGATTTTCTCACATATTTTTCTATTTGAAAATCCGTTTCTAAATATCAACTAGCCAATCATAGGAGCGAATTTCTCACACGTGCAAAAAGCGTTTCGTCCAATCAGGAAAGACGTACCACGGAATTCAATCAACAACTTCAAGTTCTAATACGGAGATAAATCTTTTTAAAAAAAAGTGAGCAACTAATATTGTCAGGAGAAAAAGCAAATATTTAACAGCTAAAACGGCAAGGAATGAAAAGCTACTCGGTGAATTTCCTAGAGAAAAACAGTCTTAAGCAAAGAAATCCAAGAGACCGAAAGGAAATAGCTGAACGAATACAACTCTGAGATCTCTGCGAATTCATTCTGATTTTGAAGCCAAAAGACAAGAAAGATTTTGAACCAGCAGGTGCCTAAGATTTATTTTCAATTTTTAATCGGAATGTACTAAATAATTAATGCAAATATTCCACCAGTGTATTTCCCAAGACCACAGAAAGCTATGTCAGCTCCGTTTGAAACTGAAACCCGTGCTTGTCAAATCAACTACCGTCACCAGCAGCAGAACTGTTCAAAGAAGCTGTATTTTAGCTGGGGGGCGGGGGGGAATTGTTAGTAACTCTTTATTAATTGAACAAATTTAAACGGGATTTAGTACGCAATGTTCACTGGAAACAAAGAAACTCTCACGTTTAAAACTAGTATTTATCAAGAACAATAATGGAAGTTTACCGTGTGTACATTGATTCCTAAAAATATGCAATCATGAACGGACTGTTTTTTGAGAAAACTGCAATGCGAGATTACGAAAGTGCTTGACGTGATTCACTATGACTAACTCAAAACTATCAACGTCAAATTCGGTATCTGTTTTCAGCGATATCGCCATAATACCACAGAATCATGCACTTTATTATGTAAAACGTCTGCATACACGTGCTACAATATTCAGGCAATCTTGCACTTTGAAGAATTGAAAAATATACTCCAATATATCCGAAGGAAGGTCGTACAAGCAACTACCTGTCAAAGGATAACAAAAAAAAGGATATTACATAGAACAATCTTATTAAAATTATGTTCACATATACATAAACAGTAATGAATCACACGCCATAATTAGTTACTAACTATGGAATGGCAGAGTAGATAGATGATGTCAACGCAACGTCGATAAGGCATGGAAGCGAGGCGTGTTTCGATTACATGCTGTACAGTGTGTTTGTGGGCTTAAAATGAATAAATTGATTAGTAGAATCATTCAGTCATTGGAGAAATCAAATAATTTTCGATATTTGAGGGATAAGAGAAAAAAGA